TGTGCACGGGATACATTAGGTTTGATACATTCCACATAGCGGGATACATAGCGTTGTGCACGGGATACATTAGGTTTGATACATTCCACATAGCGGGATACATAGCGTTGTGCACGGGATACATTAGGTTTGATACATTCCACATAGCGGGATACATAGCGTTGTGCACGGGATACATTAGGTTTGATACATTCCACATAGCGGGATACATAGCGTTGTGCACGGGATACATTAGGTTTGATACATTCCACATAGCGGGATACATAGCGTTGTGCACGGGATACATTAGGTTTGATACATTCCACATAGCGGGATACATAGCGTTGTGCACGGGATACATTAGGTTTGATACATTCCACATAGCGGGATACATAGCGTTGTGCACGGGATACATTAGGTTTGATACATTCCACATAGCGGGATACATAGCGTTGTGCACGGGATACATTAGGTTTGATACATTCCACATAGCGGGATACATAGCGTTGTGCACGGGATACATAAGTAAAATAAGGGATTTTTGAAATTTTTGAAATAAGTAGGGATAAATGGATATTAAGGTAAGTAAAGGAGTGTAGTTAAGTAATTTGTCCTTTCATAAATAACACTATTTATATCCTCTAATAACAAATCGTGGTGACATTATTGAGTTATCCAAAACGTAGCAATTAATTTTGGGACAAAAACATTTACACTAGCAGGCATATAGGCATGTGATACGTACATATATACACTCATTCATATACATACATAATATTTAGCTGAGATAATTCCAAAAATTATACATCCCGAATTATATTATTCATATGTCACGTATCAAACTATTTCATGTATTTGAAGGAGTAATACTTTTATATTTTATACTAGATCACGGTGATTCATTTCGTGGAGGTTATTTCACATGACTCGCAGGCATTAAAGACTTGTCGATCGTTCTTGTTAATTATAATGAGGACAATATTATATTAGACCACTTTGATTTTTGACTAGAAAATGTCTCAAATAAATGAATAATCCAAACGTAGGAGAAACTCAAGAAGAATTTTGCTACCTCCATTTTATTTTCTCCACATAGACCTTGATGACTGACTCAATCTTTTAAAAGTTTTTCCAATTAGATAGGGGAGTAGGGAGAGGAAGAAAGATCGAATGTGGATATCGAAACTTTATTGAATTTAAATTATATATAAAAGTTGGATTATTTTAAATTCAAGGTCTATTAGTCTAATTAACTATTATTGGATAATATAATTAGATTAATTATTTTACTATATATAATAAGTGGGAATATCTACTACTTAGCACATGACAAGTGTTGGATGATATGTGCTTAGATAGTGTTGTACATTCTTCTTTTATGGTTGTACCTTTAAAATTTATATTATTGGACAATTTAACATCATTAATTACCTACTACTTTATTAGCCGAAAAGTTTGACCTCATTTGGGCTCATTTATTATTATATGTTTTCAATTTTCAATATTTGTTGTCTATCTAATTTTTTTTTTCAACCTTTTATTTTAAACTTCTTGTAATTTAATTACCTATTTATTACTCTCTCTATGCACTTTTAATTGTTATGATTTCCTTTTTAGAGTCAAACTATAAGAATTTTAACTAATATTTTACAATGTGTTTTTTCATCATATTCATAGGCAAAAAATTACAATTTATAGTACTTTTTGTATAGATTTTGCATATTTAAATTTTTTGTTAAAATGGACTTTCAAAAAGCGCAACATGACAAATACAAGTGGACGGAGAGAGTATATTTTAGCTACAAAATATATTAGAGGTACAACTTTTAAAAAAAACTAAATTTTTATTGCGTTGACTCTTGAAATCTTATCATTGTCATATGAATTTGAACAAATTATATATTATTAAAAGTTACATAAAAGATGCTATAAATCACAATAATTAGCAATTAAAAATATTTTTAAATCATATAAGAAATTTGGTTGACTAATTGGAATAGAATAAGTAACATGTACTATTTGAAAATAACGTCAAAATTTCTAGAATACACAATAAATTAACAACTGAAAATATTTATGATTATTCACGTGAATTGAAACATGAGTAACCTATATTATTCAAAACTAACGCAAAAATAATATAAATCACAACAATTTAATAACTTCAAATATATTTTTAAGAAAACATAAAAAAAATCGACTGATATTCAAATTCCATTTATATCACATAAATTAAAACAAAAAAAATTAATAATTATTTGGGCCCTGTTGGCACGGGCACCAAATATCTATATATATGTGTCACAAATGGAAAAGTCCCAATCAAGGAAACAACATATATCATTTACAAATGACTTAAAAAGCATTAAAAATTACAATAATTACCAATTTAAAATATTTAAAACCTATATAATACAATACATTGACTCTCAAAATTCTATCAGGCTCAAATATATTGGGACAAAAAAAATAACACATATCATTTTAAAATTACCAAAAAAGTATTATAAATAATAATAATTAACAACTTAAAATATCTGAAAGACATTTTAAAAGGGTTAATTTTGTAATTTTATCCATATCACATAAATTAGGACAAAGTGACCAGTAATGTACATTATTTCAAAGTTACATAAAAATATTATAAATCACAATAATTAATAACTTAAAACATTTTAAAAAAATATATGAAAATTTGGATGACTCTCCAAATTTCATTTGTG